TCTTCCCCTTTTTGCAGGTTTTCGGAGTCCTCCCCCACCGCGAAACGCAGTCGTGATAGACCAGCCGCTCGAAACCACAAGCAACGACGCCTAGTCGACCGGGAGTTTATACGCGCAAAGCACCGGGAACAGTTTGAAGCGGACATGAAGGCTGCGGAGTCAGCCGCCACGGAGCTGCTTGTGAGGGGTGGCGAGCATGAACTACAGTCTGCCTCCGCGAAGGACAGCATTGCGGACTGTGTTCGTTCCGTAAGTTCCGTTCTCTATCTCTCCATCTCCGCCTTCCTTGTTCGATGCCGCTGCTAGTTTATCAACATTTAGGCGAAATTTAAATCCAATTTTAAAGCAAGCGAACACCGCAGGATTTACTTGTACAAATAAGTCTCAGGACAGCTTGTCAACTACGTCCTGTCTTTGAATGAGTAAACTAACAATTGGAGAGTAGAACAGTTTGAATTTCCACAGAATCAATGACAACAAGGTCATTTTTCAACGCGGCAAATAATCAATAATAATGTCGCCTTTAAAATTTGGAAGGGAATTAGGGACGGAAATTAACAAAAATCAAGGGTTTCTTAACTGTAGGCATGTGATTACCAGGGCAGTTGGAGATTAGCCACATGGGCTAACTGGTTACATAGGTCGGGTTTCTCCCGCCGTACATAGGCTGTTTCCATGTAGCGCATGGTCCGATTTGTTCTGGCTCGAACAGGAACTCTGAAAGATGTGTTGAGGTCAACAGAGTGACCACTGTCTAGCAGGTGTTTTGTAATGCAGGACCGTGGCACTTTGTTTTCTTGTTTACAATGCCAATTAGGCAAATGTTTAACGGTCCTGGACGCCAATTGCCTTTGCGTAAGGCCGATGTTCTTGCATCCGCAATTGTACGTGAATTCATAGGCACTGTTTGGGGTGGCGTGCAAGGGCAAGGCGTCCTTTGTCCGGTTAACTTGAAGGCTTTTAGTGGGAGTGAGGAACACTAGTTCCGCTGCATTATGGTGCAACGAAGCCGTCGCCTTAATTTTATTTGAAATATTATCACCCTTAAAAGGTAAAGACATAAAAACGGGCTTTTTCGGAACCTACTGTTCCGTAGATTTCGGCCGTAAAAAGCTGATCTATTTTGGGTAAAAGGTGAGGGATAGCCACGTTTAAGTAGGGCCTCTCATATGCAGGCAATCTCTGCAGGTAGGGTCTCACTGGAAAAATATTATTGGCTCTCTGGAAAAGTGAAAGTACTGAATTTCGTTCCCACTTTGTTGGCACGAAGCTGGTAAAATGTAGGTATTGGCCGTTCCAGGTAGTCTTGCGGAAAACAGCGCGCCTTATTGAACCGTCATCCTCTGTGAACAGAAGGACGTCTAATAAGGACAACTTATGGTTCTGCTTCCTTCCTATCGTAAATTTAATCTTCGGAGGCAACTTATTCATAAAATTAAGAAGATTTTTGGCGTCTTTTTTGGTATCAACAATGGTGAATATGTCTTATTAAGTTGCGATGACACCTTTTCTTCTAAGTGACCCATAAAAATGTCCGTCACCAGTTATGCTGCCGGTTTGTTCCTTAAACATGGGCAAGCTCTACAGCCTCAGCATCAGTCCTTTTAGATTTGACGCACTAGAAGTTGCAGTTGAGCGCGCCCAACCCTCGTTTATCCTACATCAGCGGGTTACCCGGGAAAGGAGGGTTACCCGTTAGCCAAGCTGCTGGCTACCTGGCGCGTCCACGGGTGGCGGATAGTGGCGCGGCCTTC